TAGAATAAGACAAGATGCCACTACAGGCGCCCTAATCCGGTGACTAAACTAATAAGAACTAAAAGGACAACAATTTTATTAACACAATAGAGATAAATAGGCAAACAGGAGGTACCAATTCCCGTGACTATAACCTTGGAATTGTCTTGGTATACTCGACTGTATTGCGTCCACCTAGCTCGTTTGCGTCTAACTCCTGCTGTTCCGTGCTGATACTCGGGTTGTTTTTCACTGTTTGCACGTGCACGTCTCGCTCTCCGCCCAAAGCCACCGGTCCTAACTGAAACTATCAGACAGGTCCTGCTGCGTCGTGTCGGAAAGCTCTGGCTTGAAGCCGGATCTGGTTTATGTGTCACCACGGCACCGCAACCAGGCCTGAAACCTGACTGTGGTTGTTCCCACTCGCCGGCGACTGATTCGTGTCTCGCCGGAGTAAGAGGGGGAGAAGACAAGACGGGAAAGGAGAAGAGGCGGGATGAGAGAGATGGGCAGAGAGAGAGAGGAGGGGTGTTGGATGATGGGGAGGAGAGAGGGGCGAGGGGACTTACCTGCGCGGAGGGTGGTCGCCGGCGACTGGATTAGTTGCTGTTAGAAATTTTGTTATGTTACCGTTGGGCGTTGGCAGTGAGCGTTTGGAGAGAGAGAGAGCGTTCTTTTAATCTGAGAGTTTGTCCGTTTTCCAGAGTAGTTATGCTTTAATGTGTATTTTCTTGAATTTGTTTGATAATTTATGTCAAGTATAGCAAAATTCAGTTTTTCTTTACTTAGGAGAATAACACATTGTACTCACATAGATGCTTTTAGGTGGTCTATAGTCGAAACTCAGAGGCGAAAGAAATGCATATTAAATCATATATGATTCATTTCTTCCTTTGTTGTTTTGGATCCTTTCACAATATTGTTAAATACATAAACATAAGCAATATCATGTGGTTGTAGTTCAAAGCAACAATTTGTTGTTGTAAGAGTTCACATCTGTAAATCACAAACATTAATATCTGAATGTTGCTAAATTAACAATGGTAGTTGTTTCGAACTTTGAAGATGGTTTGCTTAGTTTATGTAATCCCTATTTTTCATAGTGTGCTAACACTCCAAGAGAAATAAAAAAAATCCGTGGATGGAAAGTAAAGGTCAAGCAAGGCCAGCTTCAGCTCAAACCAATTTGAAGATGTTCAATCAAAGAGAAAATTCTTGGCAGCGCGGTAACAAACTACCACAACTGCCTAAGGATTAAAGACCAAACTACTCAAACTGCCATACACTGCGCTTCCCAAACTGCTAATTCCTTTGGTCATGCTGCTTCCTAATTTTTTTTTTTGTGTGTTGGGTTGGGGGGGAGGGGGGATGAAAAGAAGAGAGAGACGTGAGCGGAGAGAGAGAGAATCCTTATAAAAAGGATGGAAACAGAAGGAAAAAAATAATTCAAAAACTGGTTTTTTTATTCTTGCTGATAATGGGATCAGAATAGTAAGTTGCACTAGAATGATTGAGCTTATGCTAATCCATGTTATGTTTTTCGTTTTGTTGAATTACCATATGGGATAATAATATGTGCTTTCAAGTTCGAAGTGCAATATGTAATTTTCATCAAAATAATAGAATGTTAAACAAGGAAGTGAAACTTTTTATGTGATTGAGAAAGCTGTGCAAAGGAGTATGGGATTCTCTTTTTTCCTTGAGGCTAAATTCTAGTTCTGTAGCAATTTTTTGCTTCCAAGCGAACAGACAAAAAAAATCGTAGAAGTTTGAATTTTAAGACAAAATTGGAAATGTTCTTTTGTTTAGCACTGAAAACTTCTGAGTATTATTTCACTGACAATCCTTTATATTACCTGCTTGTATTTTTCTACAGTATAATGAAGTATTGGGCAAGGGAGCATTCAAGACTGTGTATGTTCCTAAACTCTTTAGCAGATCTTTATTGTTCCTTTGTAAAAGTACTAATTGCGTATTCAGAGCATAAAATATTTTGTCTTTTAATTTAATTGTGTTTCAGCTACAAGGCATTTGACTTGCTTGATGGTATTGAAGTTGCATGGAGCCGAGTGAAAGTCGATGATGTTTTGCAGTCACCAGACAACTTAGGAAAGTTGTATGCGGAGATTCATCTTCTTCGACAATTGAAGCATGACAATATAATGAAGTTCTGCGATTCGTGGATTGATGACAAGAAAAGAACAGTTAACATGATAACTGAACTCTTCACATCTGGGAACCTGAGGCAGTGAGTTTCTTATAGTTTCTCATTTTATTTGTTTGCAAATTGTGTTGTCGTACAATAACTATGTAAGGTTGTGGCTATCAGATACCGTAAGAAGTATAGAAGTGTTGATATGAAGGCTATAAAGAATTGGGCAAGGCAGATACTTCAAGGGTTAGACTATCTTCATTGTCAGAGCCCTCCTATCATTCATAGGGACTTGAAATGTGACAACATATTTGTCAATGGAAATCACGGAGAAATTAAGATTGGGGACCTTGGATTGGCGACGATTATGGAGCAGCCTACTGCTAAGAGTGTAATTGGTATGGGTATTTCTTGTATCGATATGCTTTGAAATAATGTCTCCTCTTCTAGAGTGCTAACTTTATCTATTGCTCTAAAGGGACGCCGGAGTTCATGGCCCCCGAGCTTTATGAAGAAGAATACAATGAATTAGTGGACATATATTCCTTTGGAATGTGTATGTTGGAATTAGTAACCTTCGAATATCCTTATAGTGAATGTAAAAATCCTGCTCAAATTTTTAAGAAAGTTAGCTCGGTAAGTTCAATAAAGTTGCTTCTTTAAGTTGTCTAGTCTATTACATACATGTTTTTGTAAATCTAAGGAAGTTTTATTTCAGGGTGTTAAACCTGCTTCCCTCGGCAAAGTTGTCGATCCCCAAGTCAAAGGATTCATTGAAAAATGCCTGGTTCCTGCTCCTCAAAGGTTGCCTGCCAGGGACCTTCTTAAAGATCCATTTCTTCAATTCGAGAATTTAAATGAGCCAATCCATAGTCTTTTGCAGTCACCTTACCAAAGTCCAAGATCACTAAGTTCATTGAAATCTGCACCTCATTCTATGGATGTAGATTCTGAGTATAACCGGTCAGTATATACAGACTCCCATTGTGGAAGTCCTTGTGCTCCAACATTGGAATTCCAAAGGTTTCATCAGAATAATGAATTTAAATTGACGGGTAAGAAGAATGATGAGAACTCAGTTTCACTGACCTTGCGAATTAAAAGCCCTTCGGGTAAGTACATCCCTTCTATTTCATTATTGTCTTTATTTCTTTGGCTTTCTGGAATCAATTAGGCTTTTGTTTATTTAAAGCCTTTGAATTATTTTGCAGGCAGAGTACGGAATATACACTTCAATTTCTATCTTGATACTGACACTGCACTTTTAGTTGCGGCTGAGATGGTTGAACAATTGCAACTAGATGATCACGATGTAGATTTTATTGCTGACTTCATTGACTACCTAATAATGAAAATTTTGCCTAGTTGGAAGCCTCCCTCTGAGTACCGTTCTAGTGGAGGGAGAAGTCATGCTCTTGAGAACTACCTAACCTTGTCACCCAACCCTACCACATCTAATGCTCGACAAGATGATATTCCAGCTCTGGGTATGAATAACCAAATTAGCACTCAAGCTGATGAAGATAAATTGTATGCTAATTCAAATGGCACTTCTTGTCATGTTACTTTTGCTTCCCCTTCACATTTGGCAAATGTGATAGACGACGAGTCTCAAGGTTCAGTTGCTTCTCAAGTAATGGGAAAAAGTTCTTCTCTAAAGAATGGGAATTCATTTGGATTTGGCGATTACTTTACAGATGTTGTCTCTAAAGGTTCTAGTGGAAACTTGTCGGAGATAGATTTCACGGGTTTGTTTCATGATGAATGTAAGTTGCAAGGAAACGGTGGCGATTATGTAGAATGCATATTAACAAATGAATATGGAAAGACTCTGGAGGTAATTTTGACAGATACAGATGGAGGAGCTTCCAAAGGCATGAGTTTGTCAAGCAGTTGTTCATTTTTATCGTTAGTAGAGATAGATGAGGATACCGAGTTAAAGTTAGAGCTTGACACAATTGAAGCGCAATATCAGCAGTGTTTTCAGGAACTCTCAAGAATGAAGCAGGAGGCGTTAGAAGCGTGCAGGAAGAGATGGACAATGAAGAAAAAGTTGGCAGGACAGTGAATGAGAATAGCTGACTTCATTCAAATATAAGGTTGTTTTTTTCTTAATTTACTGATCGATATGATCACATATATTTGAATGGATTTTGGTAATTTTTTTTTTCAGACCTAACTTCCTTCATTCCCTTTTATTTGTGTGGGTGAAGATCATATGTACTTGTATAAAGAGTGTATATAGTCATATAGTTTTTCTTGTTTTTAGCCTTTTTATTTTATTCTCCGTGGCCATGGTTAGCCCCTTGTTTTGCAAGGATGCAAATGTTTTGGAATTTTTAACTTGTAATATTTGTTAGTAATGCACTTTCATTTCTCCCAGTAATTTCTTAACTGTAGTATGTTGAAACGAGCGAGGCAACTGGCCAATTATTTTGCTCATGTATATGTATACATTAAACTATATAAGGATAACTTTGTGCAGCTGCAAATTAAATAAGAGCATCGTTACATGAAAGTTAAAGACCGATTAAGAAAACAAAATGAGTTAAATTTGTTAAACAAAGTAATACACAATAATGAGCAAACTCATTCATGTTTAAGTTCCAATATAGTTTTGTTACCCTAAATATCAAAGAGATTTGTGTAATATTTGGAAATGGCGAAATGCGTAAGTGGCCCCTTTAAGTTTTACTTAATGATCAAACAAATATCTCAATTGACCCATTTATCTTTTAGACACTTCAAGTGGTTATTAAGTGAATCAAATAAAATTTAGCCTAATAGTTTTCTTTGAAAAAAACCAAAAATTTAGCCTCTCTTCTTCCTTTCTTCTTAACTAAACCACCTCAACCCACCATGAAACCACCATAGAGGCTAGGAAATCAGCCATTAAAGTTCGAACTAATCCACTAGAAACCACCAAAAACTGCCACCTTTCACCAAAAAATTCTACTGCCCATAACTTTCAGACCTCCGTCTAGTTCCATCGACCAAATTAGTCCCAAACCCAGCTGAAAGAAGCAGCAAAAATGCAGCAACAAGAGCTGCCAAAAACTACCAAATCTTTTTCTCAGTAGTCTTTCCACTCTCATCTCTATCATAAAAACACAATTTTTCTACCCTATTTCATTTTCACAGTAGAAATTTTGAGGACAATTCTACACCAAAAACAACAAATTAGAGGAAAAAAAAGGTAATATAAGCCTAAATTCATAATCAAAAAAATAATGGAGAGAAGATTGAAGAATCCAGTAGAATCCGTTTTTAGCTACGCTTGGAGAACAAATTTTCGACGATGGAGGTCGCATAATGAACTTTTCCGGCGAGGTTCACTAATAATCCCTTAGTGTGTTCTCTATTTGGCTATTATCTGTTAGTTTCATATTTGTATGAGTATTAATTTGTTGGTTGGATTTAAGAAAAGGGGATGGTGGACACAATTTGTTGTATGAGTCTTCTCTAGATTGTTGTAGATGTAGTGGCTGCAGTCTGGGATGATAGAATAAGGGCATGTCCCNGGTGTCCTGAGGGGTAAGAATGGAGTGGGTATCCTGGTAGATAGCCATCTTAGAGAGTCTGTGGCAGAGGTCAGGCGGGTGAATGATAGACTAATAACTATTAAGTTGGTGGTGGGTGAGGGTACTTTAAATGTCGTTAGCGCATACGCACCGCAAACAGGCTTGGATGAGGATATTAAGAGGCGCTTTTGGGAGGGGTTGGATGAGATTGTTCGTAGTATACCGCCTTCTGAGAGGCTACTCATAGGAGGAGATTTCAATGGTCATATTGGGTCATCTGCAGGTGGGTACAATGAGGTGCATGGCGGCTTTGGTTTCGGCAAGCGGAACGGAGGGGGCATTTCGCTGTTGGACTTTGCCAAGGCTTTTGATCTAGTCATTGCGAACTCGAGTTTTACGAAGCGTGATGAACATTTGGTTACTTACCAAAGTTCGGTGGCGAAGACTCAGATTGACTATCTCCTCCTCAGGAGATGCGACAGGAGGTTGTGCGAGGACTGCAAGGTTATCCCAAGTGAGACCGTCTCAACGCAGCATAGGCTTTTGGTGATGGACATTTTTATTAGGATAAGGAGGAAGAAGAGGCCAGTACAAGGACGCCCCAGGATTAGGTGGGGAGCCTTAACTAAGGATAAAACTAAAGAGTTGGAAGGAAGGTTATCGGCAATGGGAGCTTGGAGAAGTAGTGGGGACGCAAAAACAATGTGGTCGACGACGGCGGACTGTATAAGAAAGGCGGTGGGAGAGGTGTTAGGGATATCTACGGGCCACAATGGTGGCCACAAAGGGGATTGTTGGTGGAATGCAGTTGTCCAAGGTAAAGTGGAAGCAAAGAAGCCGGCTTACCTGCGGTTAGTAGGGAGCACTGACGAGGAGGAGAAGAGAGAGAACAGTCAAAGGCATAAGGTAGCTAGGAAGGAGGCGAAGATGGCAGTAACGGAGGCTAAGACGACAGCTTTTGCTCGTCTGTATGAGGAACTAAGGAACAAAGGTGGGGAGAAGAAGTTATTCCGACTCGCTAAGGCGAGAGAGAGGACAACTCGGGATCTGGACCAAGTGAGGTGCATAAAAGATGATGACGACAAAGTTTTGATGGGAGATGACCAGATTAAGAGGAGGTGGCAGACCTACTTTCATAAACTTCTAAGTGAAGAAGGGGATCAGGATATTATACTTGGGGAATCGAGGAATGCCGACAGTCACCATGAATTAAGTAATTGTAGGGACATTGAGATCGATGAAGTCATGGAGGCAATGCGTAAGATGAGAAGGGGCAGAGCTACCGGGCCAGACGAAATTCCGGTTGAACTGTGGAGGTGTGTGGGTAGAGCAGGCTTGGAATGGCTTACTGCATTGTTTAGTGTTATATTCAAGACTAATAGGATGCCTGAAGAGTGGAGGTGGAGTACAATGGTCCCGTTGTATAAGAACAAAGGTGATGTCCAGAGCTGTAACAACTATAGGGGCATCAAATTACTAAGTCATACCATGAAAGTTTGGGAGAGAGTGGTAGAAATGAGAGTGCGAAGGACGGTGTCTATTTCAGACAACCAGTTCGGGTTCATGCCGGGGCGATCTACCACAGAAGCTATCCACCTTATTAGGAGGATGGTGGAACAGTACAGGGATAGGAAGAAGGATCTCCACATGGTGTTTATTGATCTGGAGAAAGCGTACGATAAGGTTCCTAGGAAGGTCTTATGGAGCTGCTTAGAGGATAAAGGGGTCCCGAGTAACTATATTAGGGTGATTAAAGACATGTATGATGGAGCTAAGACTCGGGTTAGGACAGTAGGAGGCGACTCTGAACACTTTCCAGTTATTACGGGGTTGCACCAAGGGTCTGCGCTCAGCCCATTCCTATTTGCCCTGGTGATGGATGCACTGACTCATCATATTCAAGGGGAGGTTCCATGGTGCATGCTATTTGCTGATGACATTATTCTAATTGACGAGACAAGAGGCGGCGTCAACGAGAGGCTAGAGATTTGGAGACATGCTCTTGAGTCTAAAGGTTTCAAGTTGAGTAGGACGAAGACGGAATACCTCGAGTGCAAATTTGGAGTTGAGCCGACGGAAGCGGGAGTTGAAGTGAGGCTTGACTCTCAAGTCATTCCCAAGAGAGGTAGTTTCAAGTACCTTGGATCGGTTATTCAGGGGATCGGGGAGATTGACGAGGATGTCACACACCGTATAGGGGTGGGGTGGATGAAGTGGAGGTTAGCGTCGGGAGTCTTGTGTGACAAGAAAGTGCCACCGTTACTAAAAGGTAAGTTTTATAGAGCAGTGGTTAGGCCTGCCATGTTGTATGGAACTGAATGTTGGCCGGTAAAGAACTCACACACCCAGAAGATGAAAGTAGCAGAGATGAGGATGTTGAGGTGGATGTGCGGGCATACAAGGATGGATAAGATTAGGAATGAAGATATTCGAGAGAAGGTGGGCGTGGCCCCCATGGAGGACAAGATGCGGGAAGTAAGACTAAAATGGTTCGGGCACATTCAGAGGAGGAGCACTGATGCACCGGTGAGGAGGTGTGAGCGACTGGCTGTAGTGGGCACGCGGAGAGGTAGAGGGCGACCTAAGAAGTATTGGGGAGAGGTGATCAGACAGGACATGGCGCGACTTAGGATTACTGAGGACATGGCCCTTGACAGGGAATTATGGAGGTCGAGCATTAAGGTTGTAGGTTAGGGGAAAGTTGTGAATATTTCTACAACACAATAGAGTGAGACTAGCCAGTTAGGAGTTAGACTAAGAATGTCATTGGTCGTCTATTGATGCAGGGCTTTACCTGCTAGTTTTACTATACCAGCCATTTATTTCGTATTTCGTATTCTGTATTTCATATTTCATATCTCTTATACTGCTGTTATTTTGTTATGCATTTTTATGGTACTAATATATCGGCTCCTGTTGCTTTTTGAGCCGAGGGTCTCCCGGAAACAGCCTCTCTACCCTTCGGGGTAGGGGTAAGGTCTGCGTACGTATTACCCTCTCCAGACCCTACTTGTGGGATTATACTGGGTCGTTGTTGTTGTTGTTGGGATGATGGACACAAATGGTGCAAAGAAGAAGATGAAAGGGAGGGAAAAAGGGAGGACAGAAGAAGATGAAAGGGAGGGCGGAAGGTGGAGGGGGGAAGGGTAGTGTTGGTCTAGATAAAAGTAAAGGAAAAAGGGTTTCTCTTTCTTCTTTAACGTATTTTTTTTGTTAATTATATGTGTCAATTTTTTTATTACAACTAATCTTAGGGTACGCGCTTTGCGAGTGTATATTATATTCGTGAATTTATTATTTTGAGAAAATCTATCTCTATCTTTCTTATATATACCACATAATATATTTGAGTTGTAAAATACAAATTAGAAAAAGTAATCTGTCATCACATAAGTCCTCAAATATCTTACTATTATTTTTTTCTCGTTTGCCTCCGCCAATGTTGAGTTAATATTTTACAAGAAGTAATGTATAAAAAATATAGGGAGTTACCATTCTTTATAGTGAATGATGAAAAATTACAACTCATTTAGAATATGTTTTGTCTTCTAATGTTTTATCCTTGTCGCTTCAAGTTTGCTCTATCTCTAATTTCTCTTTTCACCAATATTTTTCTTATAAAAATAAATTTATATACCATATGAATTTTATCAACTTGAAAAATAGTTTTTCGTATATGAATAGCTTTAAAAGAAGTGAAATGAATTTATTTTGCTATTAATTCTAAAAACTCAAGTATTTGTTTAAAAAATCGTTTATTTTTATTCATATTTTAGTATGAAATCGTCAAGAATTTTACATTTTTAACTATAGTTATAATTTTATCCAATAAAAAATTATTTTTAAAGGGTAAAAT